AGGATAGGATACTTTACAATGATTCCACAGATGCACCGACTCATCTCTGAAATCAAGCACTTACAGTTGATGGGTAGAACACATGAAGAGCAAGCAATCCTACGAATGACATGTAAAGCAAAAGAGCTGGTCTGACTTCTCCGTCAAAGAACCAACAAACGCTTTTCATTGATCATTGAAATGGTGGACGACATCCAGGTGCATTTAGCTCTTTCTTCTCCACCTACATGACCCTTGACACTAACGCTATAATTACACTAAGGCTCCATCTAAAGTGCTGTTGCTCTCCGCAATATCCGCCAAGCAACACATTCTATTCAACCGTGCTCAATTCTGGAAGCTGATGGCATCCCCCATCCGCCATGAAACTGGGAGGGCCTGATATGTCACTGCTCCTTTTGTATATGTTTGCCGTTTCACTGGGATCCAAGTAATTTGCAGATCAATGGAAAACTTCATTCATCAGCCCTCGCCACAAGGGCTGCGCAAAACAGGAGATTGACAATAACAGGCCAAGCCAAAACACTCCTATAATAGCCGGATTATTCGTGAAATTGGTAAAAAGTGTGAGGAAGTTCATCAACTCACTGGAGCTGATAGACAGGTCCTAAAATGGTTTCCTTGACTAACGATCGTACACATTCTGGTAGCTGCATTACCTGAACTACATACCGGACTCCACTGACTCAAAATATGCCATAGAATTCTATGTTTTCACATGTAGAAAACATTCGATCGGGTGCCTCACAAACGGTTACCGAATCAGCTGGCTTTCTTTGAAGTTCGCAACACATTAATGGGTTGGCTATCATCATACGTGAACGGTCCAGCTAAAATAGGCACCTTAAACGTCTATTGCTCTTCCCCGCGTCCGATTACCAGTGGGCTTAAACACGGATGTTGACTGGCTACATTAATTTCGCTTCGTTGTGTCAATGATAACAGTTCGGTTAACAAACATGGCGTGCCGTATTTATTTGTTGATGATATAACAGTTGTCCACAAGTACCGAGGAGTTGCGCTTTGGAATGTACTACCACTCATTCAAGAATGTATTCATTCGCTTGAGACTTGGTGCGATAGGTGGATGATGACGTTTTAAGCACAAGAGTCAAGTATCAAATGTTGCGGTCGCTTGACACCCGAAGTAACCATCTCAAGTAACAGCGAACGCATCTGTGTACAACGGTCTACCCGTGACCTTGGAATCAGATATTCTTGTACCTTTATATTCTTAGAACAGATTGAGTACCAGATAGCACGAGCCAGACAATCCTTCGCTAACATCTCTCATAACATGCATACAATCACAGCTACAGTTGAACTATTTAAAATCCTTAATCGTCCCATCCTGGAGTATCGCAGCATAATCTGAGGCAATATGAGGAAATCAGACAGAACATCGATAGAAAGCCTTCAACGGTCGTTTACTAAGCACGTATTGGGAAAAATTCTATCCTAAACTCTCGGGAGCGATGCCAGCAACTCCATCTCCATCCGCTTTGGCTGCGAAGACTAAAACATAACTGGAGACTGCTGCACAATCTGATTCATGGCAATACCCATTGCAATCGATTCATCCTTAACATTGCAGCACAATTACACGCGAGACCTAGGTAACAAAGACCTTACCCTGATTATACCACGAGGCAAGACAAATTTGCGGTCTAACTTTCGTCTCACCATATATGCTTCGCTGTGGAATCGGTTGCCATTCACCATCAGGTCGTGTGAGACTGTGCAATCCCTTTGCAGTAAGTTGGGAAGCTACCTCTACCTGGACACCATTATGTCGTTTTTTCGTGGGGAAGATCATTTGAACATCCATTCAATGAAAGTCCAGATAGTGTCTAATGGGTGTAATATCATCAATTCACGCAATGCAATTAGTCCTCAGTGTCTACAACATACTCAGACTGGAAATTTGCCTCCCACCATCGCATAAGACAAACATATGGGGTAAATACCTTGCCAGAAATGTAGACAAATATAAGAAAATAACTTGATATTGCTCTTGCAATAGTATGACATCACCTGTGCGTGTATGTCTTGGACAAATATTGTCATAGCTTTTCAATTGAGGAGAAATATGCCCATTATTATTAGTATTATTATTATTATTATCAGCATCCTTATTATTATCTTCATGCGGTATATTGTTTCGACCAGAGGCAATACTAACCTGGAGCATAAATGTGCCACTAGTACTGTGAACCTTGGACCGAGGCCAAATTGTGCGCTCGATACCTTAGGCTCTGCTAGGATAAGCGTTGGAAATTGGGCACAGGGACACCGACTACCGGCAGGGTCAGAATATGAACCAATGGTAACTATTTCCGACAAAAGATCTGTTAAGATAGTGCTGACGGAGAACGTGCAAACACCTCATCCTAGGTTGATCAGCTACAGTCAGGCGTATTGTTGGTGAGTTCTAGCACTGACACTCTCATCCCTGTCTGCCTTCCGTTAACATCAATGTGACAACCTACTGGGGAGCATATCTGTCCCCCATAGACGCATACATCTAGTCATGTGCTTGCATCCAGGGAGACCATTGGCTAATGTCCCATGCCCAATGGGAGTGTCACAGATATTGCCTGCGTGTAACCCCTCAGGGAGAGAATGAATCGAAACCCTCGTGAAGTTGAATGCACAACACTTTAGTTTGATTTTTGTAACACGCTAACTTATTAGCACCATGCGTGAAGTTGCCTGTAAATAATATAGCGACTCAAAGTATAGGGAATAAGCTATCACCTTCAGGTCCGGTGCTACATGCATGTACCAGTGACCATAAGCGGTGCTTGGTACGCGTACATGCAGAACCGTCCTTGGCATGGGAACTTCAATCAGACGTAAAATCTGGTGAGTCCTCATTTGGTTCACTCGAAACGCTCGAAAGGAAAACATGTGCAGCCCAAGACTATTGCGTTGGTCTATGTGTGTCATACCCCGTAAATTCTAGATGAGACTGGTGGTTACAGGTTGAACTCCTTCCAGTTTCCGCACCTCGTCACGAGTGATAGAAGAATAGACGGGTGAGTCGTACTCTAGCAGTGGTCTTGCGATGGAAGAGAAGCGGCAAGTGACAATCTCTTCATACCAATAGCAGAAACTGCCTTTCAGTGCGGATAGCATGCAGTTTGTTTCGGTATAACCTGTTCGTGTTGTCCCCTGAACTCAAATCACAGCTGTAGAGATTCTGACAAATTCTGAGCTCTAACGAATAAATGTTGACCCAAGAAAGCTGACTTGAGAGTTCCCCATTGCTAACTTTTTCACGCTAGCCACAGCCAATATGGTCAGGAAAACAGAGATGGACGGTAAGCTAACCAAAAGTTCAACGAGTCGGAATTCGAACGCGGCATTAAGAAGACCTATTATACCTGAGCCCCAGGTCCATAATGTTTGACAGCATTCTTTACATCAGCAGCATACTGCTGACTAACAGAAACAGGACATTTGTTGGCTCTTTGTTTTATATGCGCCGACAAGTGTAGCCAATCAGTAAGTAAGCCTGTATGTAGGATTTCAACCGAAATGTCGACATAGTCTACAGTAGTTTTGTAGTGCAGTATGCGGCCTAATGCTATTCCGTAAACTGACTCCATGTTTCTTAGGCGCAATCCAAACAGTTCGAGTCTTAAGTTGGACTGTGCCGCGAACCATCAAAAAATATAACATTCATCCATTTATATACTTATGAGTAGGAGATAAATAAAAAATAAACGTTTTATTCCTCAACAGTGCGAGGCACAGACAAATTGAGTGGTCTTATCGACTTGTAAAACGTGATCGCATAATATAGTTAATGTTACCAGTTCAGTTCAATGGTTCCCATATGGGTTTTTAAAGTGATTAACAGTTTGAAAATAGTAGAGAGCTTAAGAAACTGGAAACAATAATAAATGTAGATTTCACGGAAAGTCCAAGGAAACTAATACGGTCATCCACGGAACTGTGCCCAGGGGACTTGCTTCCATGCAGGGTATTCCCACGATGGGTTTCATCCGCACTTCCATGCTCCATTTGGCTCTATGCCGGTGTGGCAAAATAGTAAATAGGCCATCAGACTGGGTATCAAATGTTTTTTAAGGGCTGTTTTATGCAGACATTATAGGCGATGAAGCCTCAGGCATGTTTGGTGTAACTAATTGAAAGTTGCTGGTAGCAGCTAGCTGATTTGGAAGCGGCTGTAACGGATTATTAATTAGTCTGTTAATTTAGTTACATATTATGCAGGCATTTACTCTCATCTGTTAGATATCTTGTGACAGCTATTGCTTAAACACACTGATTCGGAGGAATGCTATGACTTGGCCAATAGATTCCAACTGCACCAGCGCCATCCGATGAACGTTAGAAAGTCTGGCTGGTGGATTTATCATCCACCACTTTACCAAAGGATAAAAGCAAACATAGGATAGAAGGAAACATGAGAAATAGACAAGAATAGTTAATCTGATCGGTTAAAATAAACAAGTAGCATAATTGTTTTGACTGTTAAAACTGGGAAGTAGTAGCAGGTGAGGGTGGTTGAATAATCACACAATTCACGTCGAGTATGGCTCCTGGCCATCAGCTGATTGTTATTGTTCTCTTTCTAATTTTTATATGCCTAGCGTTGTTTATAATAATTGTGCTTAACTGAAACGAGCTGCATTCCATGCAAAAGAAATTTTCCCACTGAATTGCGATAGGCGTGCCTTCAACCACCTTTGTAAGCGCATACAAATGGGAATTCAGGTACGACCAGAATAGGCTGGGTTTTGAACCATATGCTTGGAGCTACAGCTGATCAGTTTATGATCGGCGCCCCACAGGCGTACCACGCAACAGTGGGTAAGGAGTTCGAAAAGCAGAAGCCGAGTAATAAGATGACGGGTCATGTACAACCACACTACGGCCAAAGTATTCTGTTGATTAAACATTGCTTAATTTCGACTAAAATCTGTCCAAACGAGCGTTCGTACATGTCCCTTATTTACCCTCTGTCTTAGCTCCGACTTGTCAATCGGCTTCAATCAATCGTTGTCGCAAAACTTTTGGATGTTACATACAAATCAGCCGGGTATTTTTAGCGCAAATCTATGGACGGAGGCAGAAACCTATCCGCAGTTAAATTCCAAGGCATCCGTAATCTGGCGGTTTGGATATCAACTGGACCAAGGAGGCGACACATGGTTTTATGCCTCATTAAGCATACCTGAAAAAGTGAGGTAAAACCATTTCTTTTGTGTGGACATCTGGTCGTCATTTTGTTTCAATCATCCCACATTTAAGGACAGTTACAAGTGGAAGCGAGTTGTTTGCCTCACGTTGTAGAGCGTGAACGAGCTGCACACTTAGAAAAATTATTCGACAACGAAGGAGAATTTTTAAACACTATTTACAGGTAGGAGGTCTACATGTAGGCGTTTCATGGGGGAAAAAGTGAGAACGGCATTAAATTTTACAGCAGTGTCTGCTAACTTTTAATTATTGTGCGGATGCTGAAATAATCTGTGCGACGATGGATTATCTCTCGTGTCCTACTCCTTCAGGTTAAGTTTAAACTAAAATCATTAAATAATTCAGAGATGATTGTTACTATAACATCATATTTGGGTTGAAATATCCATGCCACCTTTAAATGCTACTTACGATTTCCTTAATGTGCTATAGATATAGCGTCTAGTGAGAGGACGTCATCACCTTGCAGGCGAACCACTATCAGTGACAGTGGTAGATAGATGGTGTATATCCCAGCTAGTTTTGCAAATTATGTAGCCCAGCCAACGTTCCCCATGGCTCAGTGGCTTAAGCTGCTGACTAGTTGGCATCTGCTTATAGCGGTCATGGGTTCGATCCTCCTTAGAGGACCGAGAGAATGCGCGCCACTGACGAGCCCCAATAGGGCGAAACGCGTCTGGCGCTTTTCCGGACTAGGCTCTGCTACGTAGTTTGTGAACTGTTGGGATGAAGCCTTAGGAGATTTACAACTAAAATCCTGCTATTAATGAGTACTATAAACATGATTAAGCAAATTTAGCACGTTCACTTGCTGCCCAGCAATATCAATTTTGATTACCTTTTTGTTGAAACATGTCGCTTTGGTGGCCTATGCCTTGGTAGTGCCACTGTTTGACCAGTGCATGTCATATCCATGGACTTACCATGATAAGGGTGAAAAATGTTTCCTCTATTTGATAAGAACGCCTACTTTGGGCTGGCTACATGCAGTTTTGAAACCCAGTTTAATGAAGTGAGCGAACTAGACAGTAAAAGTGATGTGCCAAGACAGCGATATGAGAAATGTGCAAGACGCACCGTGTGACGAATTGCCAATATAATCCAGCGATAAACGAGCCAATGGTAAAGCCCGTAGTTGCTTGGTGACGGCTACTGAGGTTCTGTACCTGTGGTCCAGTGTTCTTAACCACTAAGTCGATAAAGTAAGACCGCTGGTTCCAGTCTCACATGCGAAGTAAGAGAATCCCACTGCTGTTAGTTACTGAAGAATGAAACGGCCAACCGATGAAGTTCATGACTTCTGATAACTGCCTGAATGAATAGGGTAATAGCGATGCTTCCTGGTTAACAATTGGTTTGGCGCGCGTATGGATCGAGTGCTCAACAACACCTTTAGAGTTATCAGAGTGCAAATGAACATCCAGTTGAAAACATCAGCAGTGCCTTAAAGGAGCCATCAATCTAAAGTGACTGCACATATCGTTCGCAAGCCTTGCGTCATCTCCCGATGCACACCAGTCGCATCACACAACGTTTTTTCACTAAAGCATTTCCTGCAATGTTGCAGAAAAAATCCAAAAGTTTGCAAGGTAAGTGCCACGCGGCATCCAATTCGAAGAAAGGAGCACTTTGCCTGATTTATGGGCAGTAACCGTAAAGTAGACCAGTCCCAAAGCTTATCCAATGCTCGCTAAATAGCTTCGGAACACCCAGGAACATCAACAATGTTCCACAGCTTCAGGTCATCAGCAAATAGCAGCGATGGTACCTCAAGCTCCGCGGGTAGGTCATTCACATAGATAGAGAACAACAGCGGTTCAAGGACCGAGCCCTGCGGCACGCCGCTGTGGCAGACTGCCTAATTGATAGGCCCCGGCCTACCCGTACACACTGTTCTCTACCCTCCAAAAAGGCAGGCACCCAATGAAGGGCGCGGCCAGATACCCCATAGGAGGACAGCTTATGCGCGAGTCTCAAATGTGGTACCTTGTCAAATGCCTTCGAAAAGTCGACAAAAGCACGTCCAGTGTGTGGCCGTTATCCACTGCATCCGCCCAATTTTCGCTAGCCACCAACAGATTCGTCAGACACGAAAATCCCTTCCGGAATCCATGTTGTACATTGCTAAGTAGATTAAATCTACTCAGATGACTCTCCAATGCATCTCACACCAGGTTCTCGGGGAGTTTGACTACTACACTCGTCAGACTAACTGGCCTGTAATTTGCAGGAAGATCCCCCGTCCCCATGTTTGAAGATGGGACAGATGACAGCTTGCTTCCATTCGGAAGGCAATGCACAGCTGTCATGCGATTTCTGAAACACAATAGCGAGTGGTCCACTTAGTTCCGCAGCCAACTCATGCAAAAGTTTCGGGTGAATTAAACCAGGCCCAGAGGCCTTAGAAGGGTTCAGTCCTTCTAACGGTCTACGAACTTCCGTCTCCGCTACAATAAATTCAGATAGTTCTGAACCCGCTGGGTTCCTGCAAACCAACTCCACGCCTGTCAAAGAGGTTTCCCTTACAAACGCTGCCGCATATTGCCCACTGAGTACGCAGGCCTTGTCATAATCCGTATGCGCATGAGTACCGTCATCATGCATCAATACTGGAATTGACATGTTCGAAGCGCAGCGCCTTTTGACACAAGTGAAGCCTCTTTTTTGATTCTCTGAAGCTTCGTCCGCTAACCCTTTTTCATAATTGAGCCGAGCATTCCTTAGGTGTTGCTTACACCTATTTATAGCCTATGGTACCAGGCATAAGTATCGGTGGACGGAGCATCTGTGCAAGTACGCCGACATCTAGACCTCTTTGTGAGCAGATGCCTGCCAGTGGAATCTATCCGGGGCGGCTTGCTCGGTCCTCCTTTCTCCTTCTGACTGGGATGAAGGGAGCAGAGAACTCTGTGAGGTAGGACTTAAATTTCTTCCGGGCAACCTGGACAGCATCGTCGTCTGAGATCTCACAATGGGAACCCAAATTCTTGGCTCTCATTGATTGATAGTCTGCTTGCCATATGTTCGGGAGAGACTCAACATAATCTGGTAGCGTCTAGACAGAGTACAAGTGAAGAGCAAACAAACATGATCACTGGAACCCAATGGAGGTCCGTAAGTAATGCCACCAACAAAATCGGGTGACTTAGCGAATACAAGGTCTAAGATGGACGGTACTTTGGCGTCCATGTACCTAGTGCGGAGGTCAATGAACTGGTGCAAAGATACTTGGAGCGTAAGTTCAAGCAGATCAGCGCCGAATGTGCCTGACACTGAGTCGCAAGAAAGATCTGCCCAGCAAATCTCTGGGAGGTTGAAGTCGCCCATCACCAAACACTTATTTGCGGACTGGGAGCGAATGAATTCAAGTACCTCTTCGGATACCCTCCCAGGGCTAATACACACAATTACAACTGCAACCTGAGCCGAGGATGTGCTAATAACAGCCAACAGAGCTTCAACAGTTTTGTCTGCTGACTGAAATAAGCAAGTCTTCAAAACGTCAAGTTTACAGGTCACATAAAGAGCGACGCCCCCTCCCTGTCGGCCAGCAGAGCGGTCGCATCTAAATAGTGCGTAGCCAGCTAGATGTACTTCACCATCCGTGATGTCCTGAGACAGCCACTTTTTAGTGAATGCCAGTATATCGGGATGAGACCCATCTACAAGCAGGCCTAACTGGTACACTTTATTCCTTAGGCTGCGCACATTACTTAGAACTACCTAAAGATTTTTGTTTGATCCAGCCTTGTGTCGTGCGCTACCAGAATGGGCAGTGGTAGGGCGGAAAAGGACCGCCGGCTGACCACCCGAAAACCCACTAACCGGAGACCTTGTTCACCGGCCGCTAGCCTGCTTTTGAGGTCCTAGTTGGCCTCCTTTAGCTTCAGGCTATCGGTCAGCGGAAAGTCCGGCTGAACGCTATTATTTGTACCTTTCAGCTTAAACGCAAACCGCTTGAGAGCAAAGCGTTCCTCCGGGGTAGATGGTACCACACGAAGTAGCCGCGGTCGCGAGTTTGGTACGTTAACTGGGACGTCCCCAGTCTAATCAGCTTCCTGACAGCAGCGCCTCGAATAAAAGCGGAAGAAGCTTCGTTACGCACATTTTAAACCACTGAAGGTCGTCCAACATTCGATCAGCAGGAAGGACAGGAGTAGATTCAGCCGGATTACGGAACATAACGCTACTATCCGTGAAAGAATCGCCACGACGGGGTGTATTAACCCCACGGGTCTTTGATTCGGCACTCGGAGCAGGTGGCTTCACTACTGGTGATGGAACTGTCTTTAGCCCCTCCGATGCTGTAGCAACGGCAGCGTGTGTTTTTCGCTCCATTGTCGAGGTCTCACTTTTGTTAGGGTCATCGATTTCACCGGAAGGCTTTATAGCAGATTTTGTCTGCTTTTTCTTCTTGATAACAGGAGCAGGGTCCCGTGAGGCATTTTTAAGTTGAGCAGAATCAAGCACACCTTCAGAATAGGTCTTCTCGGTGAGAAGCAAGTCGACTAGACTCACATCTCAACTCTTTCTGAAACATGCAAGAATATGTTACGCTCCGTCGACAAGCACTGTTACATTGCAATTATAGTGCCTTGACCGTTTCAACTACACACCATTGAACCCGAAGTATCGTCGTGATACACAACTGCCTTTAAACCTTGATCACGCCTGTGTTGGTGTGTCTCAAGGAATTTGAGAACAAACTATTTATTTATATGACCAATGTGCTACTGACACTGGTACAGTTGCCATAATATGTCTGTACAGCTGCACATACCTTATCATGCCTCCATGGGCGTGCCTCGCATAGCCGAGAATAAATGTTTACTTATTTATTTATTTATTGGTTGGGAGTTGGGCAAGACACCGTTTGATTGAGTTTTGTAGCCGCTGGTTAACGAGTCCTAAAATGAAACGCAAATGAGATAACGCGACGTCAACTAGTTTTCTAAATATTGCCAGATGAAGAGCAAAGAATACGTAATTGA